TATCAGTAAAGATAAAAAAAAACATATGGGTTACAGAAACTTGGCTCCAAAAACAATGCCCTAGGCCTGGGGTCAAGAGAGAACAGATTTCCAAACCTTGATCCAGAGATATGCTTAAAATGACAGTGGAAAGGCTTCGCAATGCAGGCACATAGCTCTCTGATTTTGTAACCAACAGAATGATCCACAACAGGTTTACATGCCATATACTGTTGTGGAACAACAGCTACATGCGAAGAGGCACCAGAAAGAAAGAGGACCCAATGCATACTCTAGGACCCTATAAGCAAATAAGGAACACGTTGGGTTTACAGTTTGAAGAACATAGTAAGCAAGAATGAACCAAATGAACTAATTCTTCACCCTCCATCATCCCAGTGAAAGTTTTCAGAATTTCTATAAAGAGTTTAAGAATTAGGGATAATTAGGAACTTTTAAATATATATAGAGAGAAACTTGAAGGGTAAGGACCTCTTCCCATGCTTTGGGTAGTTGGGTGCTACTGCCCATGGGATAACCTGAAGCCGGTGGCCCATGGTGGCAGCAAGAACATATGAGGCACCTCAGTGTCCACTCACCTGGCCAACAATCACCAGGCTTGGTCAAGCACAAAGAACACCTCTTTCCCAAATGCAAACTGCCTTAAAGTAAACCACCTTCTCACTAAAGGATGAAGCACAGGAAAATCTGCCAGTCCCTGCTTACCACCCCCGACATTTGTAATTTTGTCTCACTGAGATTGGAGGATAAGAAAGCTATAGTGATGGGAAAGGACATGCATTAAAATAAAATAAAAAGTAAAGCAAAAGTATCTAAATTACTTGTAAAAAATAATTTAAAAATATCATTGTTTAGGTGTGCAATAAATGCATACCTGAAATTTTTTGGAAAAGGAACAATTTTAAATGCACCTCACAAACTGATTTTTTAATACTATAGGCCAGTGATGGCGAACCTATGACACGCATGTCAGAGCTTACATGCGAACTCATTTTTTTGGTTGATTTTCTTTGTTAAATGGCATTTAAATATATAAAATAAATATCAAAAATATAAGTCTTTGTTTTACTATGGTTGCAAATATCAAAAAATGTCTATGTGACACAGCACCAGAGTTAAGTTAGGGTTTTTCAAAATGCCGACACGCTGAGCTCAAAAGGTTCGCCATCACTGCTATAGGCTATTAGGAATATAGCATATTTGCAAAGTACAGAATCCTTTCATAAAATAATTTATCAAAATCACTTTCTACAATCACAGCATATACAAATCTTTATTGAGTCCACTTAAACAGAGATACACAGAAGAACACAGGAGCTGAGACTGAGAGACTGGCAAGGGGGATGTGGAAGAGAAGGTACAGAAGTCAAGTACTGCCACAGACGATCCATTTATTCACTGGAGAGGCTCAGGAGAGTTATTGACTTGTGTCCGCCTGGAGCCTAGTGTGCACTACTCCTCCCCCAAACAAAAACTGCTTTTCTTTCCCAAGTAACCAACCCTGCCAGTTCTAAGCCTGTCCTCTCATCTCTCCCCCAGTGCCTGCAGGTCTGAAGCGCCTCTCGCAGCCAAAGGTGGGGAAGATGGCCCAGAGCTGATGTGGATCTCAGCCCAGGTGTGTAGCTGTGCCAGAAACCCCTACAGCCCCGAGGGGTGGAGAGATGAAAAACCAGCCCTGGCCTCGGAACACACCTACCTGGCAAGATGGCCAACCACACAGACTGTTCCAGAGACAGCCTAGCAGGCTGGCAGAGGACATAAAACCCTGGAGGCCCTGAGGAAGCACACCTGCGCGCACCATGACAAATGGGGGGACGGGGCCACACTGTCCAGCACTGTAGGCCTACCTGCCCTGAACTCACTGCCTGCATGTGGAAAAGGGGAAAGGTGTGGCTAGTAAATGGTCCCTGGAGTACAGATGACTTCACTTTTCATTTTGTTTACATATCCCTCCACTAAGTTTTGTATTTTTGTGATGAGGAAAGTGGGCAATGAAGGTCAGGTAGAGCTCACAAAGCTAAGCTTGAAAGTGCTTGCTCAAGAAGCCAGGTTCCCAGGATGAAGAATTGTTTTAGGGACCTTACTGCCAAAATACCCAGGTCTAGTGCTTGAGTTCAGTGCTGAAGGCAGGCAAATTAATAGATGCTTAAATATGATTTCAGTATCACAGCTGATCAGTCTCATTAATACCATTGGTCAGTCTTAAAGCTAGTAACACTGAGCACATGGGTCATTAAAAACGCTTCATCATAAGGAGGGCACAGTATCTGCAAAATGCAGTGCTAGGTTATCCAATAGCTGGTCTATGTATGTGTCCAAAGCTTCAGTAAAAAATCTTCTGAAAGGTGTTTTTATACTATTGCATAGACATCAAGGGGAAAAAAAATCAGATTCTTTTTTGAACTTATTTCATAAGTGCTTTTTGCCTCATACTGTTTTTACTTTTATTACCATCATTTTTTCATTGCTTAGAATTTTTTTACAGGTTTTATTTTGTCCCTGGGTAGATAAAAGGAAATTGTATTGCAAAATTTTAGGTTTTCTCTTAGTTTCATCAGCAGAGGTCATACCAGCATTGAGAGACCTTTAACAGTAACCTTCCAGATGCTTCTGGGGGCTTTGGAGAGAGTTACAACAAAAAAGAAAAAAACAACTACTAGAGGTCATGAAGCCATAGAGTAATTTGTTGCTGAACAGCATGGTGACCAGATGTGGGGAAATACTTTCCAATAGTGCAATTAAAGACCAAGCATTCTCATCATTGGCCTGAATTTATGTCAAGAAAAGACCCCCAACCTCCTTTCTTTAGAATGGGTAAAACCTTTGATCCGTAAACAAAGTAAAAGAGAAAAAACGATGTACCTTTTATTTACTTATTTGCTAAAAACTATGATAGACTCAACCACAACTTAAATGGAATGATCTAAATAAAGTACTTCAGTGTTGAACCAACATTTTCCCATGCACATAGCACTTACTAATCTTGATAGTAGTGCTTAAAGACCACTTCTCTAAGCCCTCAATTATTTGCACAATTGATGCTGATTTTCTCCATTCCCAATGGAACTGCCTTCTTGAATTTCCAGTGTTATGTTTTCCCAAAGACTAATCTCAGATTCTGTGACCTGACTGCTTCAATGATGGATTTTTGGCCATGGCTGGTCCTAAAACTTCATAATTATATAACTTTACACCATAACATAGCAAGTACATATTTTAATGTTCAGATAGAAAAAATTGTGTGCATACTTATAAAAGTCAGAAAAGGAAAGTTTATTTGAGATGTAGGATTTGGAAAGGCCAGCTTGGGCTTGTACTGGGACTGAAGTGTAAACATTTTCAGATCCTCTAAGATGTCTGCACCACTGTAATAGTCTTTGTTCAGAGCAATGACGTCTCATCTTAGATTTGTGATACCACTGGTTATCTCTGGAGGAGTTATAAACTCCCTCCACAAAATGCCAAGTACAATAACTTAAATTCACTTTAAAAATATACCACACAGGTTTTGAGGCAAGGGAGGGGTCCTGAAATCAAAGAAGAGTCATCAGTATTACAGAAGATTGATCCTTGTCAATTATATTTCAGTCTAAGCCAACTGATGAATAGACAAAATAAACAAAGGAAATTAAGCAAAATGAGATTGTCTGCATGTGTGATTTAGTGGTTGGAAACGAAGGGAGGGAGCTGCTTACTTGGGGGACACTATTATTATGGAAAACCCTTGCGACTTTATTTATTTATTTACTAGTGAATGAAGTAGTGCTGACTGGCAACTGAAAACCCAGTTCCTAGCATGTACTACTTGCACTTATACAGCAAAATTTTTTTATTTATGAGAATTAGAGAGAGAGGGAGAAACAACAACGTGAGAGTGGAACATTGATCGGCTACTTCCCATAAGCACCCCGACAAGAGACCGAACCTGCAACCTGGGTATGTACCCTGACCTGGAATCAAACCTGCGACCTTTCAATGCATGGGGTGACACTCAACCAACTGAGCCACACCAGCCAGGGCAAGAATTTTTAAAACATGCAATACCTGACTCTTTAGTCAGGGGCACTGACCTCTTTTCCCTTAGATTGTCAAAAAAAAAAAAATGACAACAGCCAACAGAACAGCCATTGGGTGTAAATGAATCAAAATTATACCTTTTTTTTTTTTTTGTCAGATTGGCAAGGTGTGCTACAGAATTTTAGTAATTACTTTGTGTGCCACGAGATGAAAAAGGTTGAAAATTGTTGCACTAAGACATCTGTGCCTTAAAGTTGATTTAGAGGATTCAGTATTGGTTTCTTTAAAACCAACCAAGCAACAAGAACCACAATACTGGCAGCTAGGCAGGGCAAGCTTAACTTAATTTTGCCAGTTTTCCCCTCGGCTTCTCACTTAAATTGTTAGCCTGAGATTATACATCACTGCTCTACAATATCCAATTCTTATTTCCTTGGTCACCACAGGACAGTAACTAACAGACTTTTAGGTTTGCCATTGGGAAGTTGGCTTATAGCCATTACCTTTTACCATAGCTTCCAAATTTCCAATAAAATATATTTCCTGATGGGTTATTGCCCTCAGGCTTCACAGCTTTCTTTATTCAGAAAACCTACATCAGTCAAATCTGATAAATCTAAACATGGATTTCCTCGAGTCATATACATATGCACTCAAAAAAGACATCACTGAAAAAAGCAGTTTTTCATTAAATAGGCCTGCCTTTTCCCAAGAGAACCCAACATTACTGTTCACTTTTTATTTTTTGTATCATTGCCTATTTAAATTTACACACACATTTCTCATAAGCCCTAGAATTCCACCAAGAAATTCCTTACTAATTTTCATTTAATCCTTCATCCACCCTGCTAACACTGCCTGCCAAGAAGACCAAGCAAAGTTCTTTTTAAACTAGGTCTTTCATTTCAATTTTCCCAGGTTGTCTGAAGAGTCGGAAACCTGAAAGGTATAAGTAAGAAGAAGGGAAAAAAAAGTATTCTTGCCTTATTTGTAGCAGTAGCACTGGATCCAAGGACCACGGGCACATTCGTCACTTGAACCGAAAGGTAATTATTGTCTATGAGTGGCCAGGCTCCTTCCACTTTGCACGTCTGGAAGTGATCCTTGAAAGTTCTAAGGTGGGGATCTCCAAACAAGCCACAGAAAAGGTAATTAGGAGGGTTCTGGTCCCCTCCCCTGAGTTCTCTGACTCCCGCATGGCTGTGATAGTTACAAGGGTCATGGGTCACTTCAGGGTTGGTAGAGGATGTGGGTCCGTCCTTGGAACAGTTCCTCTGGCTCATGAGGTCACTGATACCTAGTACAGCAGAATGGTATACCAGGTTGCCACGGCAGGCTTTTGAAGTTCGCTGGGTGCAGCCAGCATAGGCACGCAGGGCCTTGCAGAACTCAGAGTCAAAGCCGTCAATGGCAGAGTTCAGGTGTGAAGTCAGGGACACAAAGTCTGTGGTACATTTCTGGATTCGACATTGGGCTGGTTGTTGGCAGTCACCTATGGGAAAGAAGATAAGACCACACATTTTTTAAACGCTTCATAACTTCCTGAGCTACATGAGAAAATGACATTCTCCTCTGGGGACTGTTTGTTCTATTTCATATCCTCCTATTTTAAGAAGGCCTTCAGAAATAGGGTTGCATTGTGCTTCTGTGTCTCTCACAAATTAAGCCACTGGGAGAAACACTGCATGCAGTTAGTTAACTTAAAACTTTATAGCATGGGCCATTGTAAATGACAATTTTACCAACTTTGCTATTGTTTATGGATTTTGATAAAGATTCCTTTGCTCTAAGGGCAAGCAAAAGATGTGAACTTTGTTTTGATTTTGAAAACTGCATAAGTAATTTGCTTTGGAAAGCACTGTCTATGCACAAAACCATAATTAAAACTTCCACAACTCAGGTAGGGGAAACCCCTAAATTATAGCATGATTGGCTAAAACACCTTTACCTTATTCTAGTAAAGCTAACAGAGAAAGAATAACAAGAAAAAAAAAAAATCCAAGCACTAAATTATTCTGCATTTCCTGATAGATGTTTATCAATAAATTGTATATAAACTGTTACTTAATATCCTGGTTTTTACAAAGTATAAATGTTCTCTTTAAAAAATAGTGATACATTTGACCAAGCTATGTATTCATTTCTCCCTTGATATCCATCACCCTGAGATCCCAGCTCCCCAATAGTTTCACCAGGAAAAGTACGCTAAACAAAAAAGGACACTGAAATCACAGTGCAGAAACTGATGTTTCCAACTATGATTTTTCAGAAACACAACAGAATTCTTAGAGTTATCTGAATGATTTTCCCCTTAAATCAACAATTCATATGTACTTAATGGTTAAAGCAAAGTGATGAAATGAAGTAATGGAAAACCAAGTATTACTGCCCTACTATTTTAAAAAGTTAATTTTCAAATGATGTTTTGCCACTAGCTCCTCACATAAAAATTTATAAAACCTCTTAAAGCACAAAAATCGTAAGAATTGCCAATGCCAGGTCAGTCATGTGCACCAGTTTTTTTTTTTTTAAATTCTGCTCCATACAGTGGGACACTAGAATTACTGAAAAGAGAAATTCTTTCCTTTACCATCCACCTCAAACTTTATAGACATGAACTGCAACATGTATTTGTGTTACACATTCTTTATAGGCCTCTGAACAATGGAGCAAGTTTCAATCTCTTCAAGTCTAACATTCCTCATCTGAGAAATGAGGAGGTTGCTCTAAAATGAACTTTGTGACCTTTTTTCAGGCATAAAATATCTTTTTTTTAAAAAATATATATTTTATTGATTTTTTACAGAGAGGAAGGGAGAGAGATAGAGAGTTAGAAACATCGATGAGAGAGAAACATTGATCAGCTGCCTCCTGCACATCTCCTACTGGGGATGTGCCCGCAACCCAGGTACATGCCCTTGACCGGAATCGAACCTGGGACCTTTCAGTCCGCAAGCCGACGCTCTATCCACTGAGCCAAACCCGTTTCGGCAGGCATAAAATATCTTATTCTAGGTGGGAGAAAACAGTCAGTAGTGTGCTATTAGATATGTAATTATTTAAAGATATGAGCGTAACAAAATTCAGGATAATATCAAGATTTAGGACTTCATCTGATAAAGACTTACTAAAAATGTTTTTTAAATAAAGATTATTTAAAAAGATATTTTAATCTTTTCAGTAGTAAACTGCCTTTACATCTAAATTAAATGGCCTGTAATCTGTGTTTGGCTTTAGCTGGGGAGAAAAGGGTAGGAGGTGACCACTTCTCAAGATATCTCCCCAACCATTTTCTTACATTTTGAAGTCCAAAAAGGGAAAAATGTTATAGTCTTGATTGAATAGTCACTTTAACTTGAGCAAAAGAGATTAAAATATTAATCACAAAGACATCTTGTGTCTGGCCTATTTTATGTTTGCTCATTGCAAAGTTAACAAAAGTAGCTATTATTTATAGAATTCCTCTCTCCAAAGTAGATCAAGTCATTTTCAACTACTTTTACTCAACAAAACAAAAGCAAAATTTAAGAAAATCAAACAAAAAACCATCCAAAAGTCATTAAAGCCATTTAGCAGATGGGAAAAACCAAGGCAAAGGGATTTTCAGGCCTTGTCCTGGCAGATCATACGCAGCTGTATGAAGCCCAGGAAGTGGGCCTTTCCTCAATCCATTTTCCTTCCTCCACACACCATGTCCCCTAAATTCCTGACTCTCAAAATGGTACTTGATAGCTTAAAAAAAAAAAAAAGGTGTAAGTAACTACTGTATCACATTTTTCCCTTTTAAATCAGATTCACAGCAAGCAGAAAGCAAGGAAATAAAAACTGGGCCAAAATCACTCAGTAATGAAGAGCCCTCAGACTACAAGTAAATGACAGTTTCCGCTAAACTTGCAGTGCCTATTTGTTCTTTTTACGGTCTATAAAATATATCTGAGCGTACATTTACTTATAATTATTTCAAATAGTCATAAAATATCAAAAGTCAGAACAGCATGGCAATGCAGATGCAATTGTTCAGAAGGGCAAAGAAGCAGAATTTAGATGCCAGCTCCTCTTTCCGTTCCTTCCTCATTCCTTCATAGCAGGCAGGTGCTGATTCCTTTGAGAAATCTCACATAACACAGAACTCCTTGAGCTCTTTTGTTTGGATGAGGTTTCTAACAGCCTTCTGGAGTAGAGATGATTGGAGGGAGAAAAGCTAATGAGAGTGAAAGTGCATTTGGGTCAGCAGTTTGAGCCTCATCGCAGGCTCCTGTAGAATGACTAATTTGCAGCATACACCCAGAAATATCCAGGCTTCATGAATTTATAATGACAATGCACACTTTGCCTGTTGCAGGCGGTAAAGTAAGCCTCCTGTCAAAATGCCAAGACAATGCGGAGCAGAAACAATCTCAAGGATGTGGCGAAGAAGCCCATGAAGTGTATGAGTAAGCAAGTAACTCCTATATTGGACTGCCAGTCAGGAACTGCAGAGGTTTGCTTAAGAGAAGAAAAGGCAAATAAAAGTACTCTTTTCATTTCTCAAGGGCAGAGTTCAAAATCTGCAGTTACAGATATCTGTTTCCTTGAGTCAGATCATCTGTGATCAGTGTGACAGTATTTTCCTTCTAGTTAATGAAAGTGCTAAAGGATTTTCAGGTGTAGCTTAATGATTCAGACATAAAGACCTCATCATTTAAAAACAGCTTCCTCAATGCCAGGACTGCACGTGTGAATCTGCAGCACAATCACCAGCTTATAATAAAAGAAACAAGATACGCTGAGGCTGAATTAAGTGAAATATGGAGCCATATGGGGTGCTGAGGCAAATTATATGGATCCAGGCATAAAACATATGGTAGCCCATCTGCAGAGAGCACTTTGCTAGGCTCCCTGCTCTGAGAAACAGACCCTGCATTTCAATAGCACCGCTCTTCAAAGAAATCTCTCAAAAGGAGCCCTCCTTTCTATAGCCAGATTAATTGCTCCACTCCGACAAGCTGTCCACAGAAATCACTCACCACAGCAATTCTGGGTAGAAGCTGATGGTGACTCTAGTGAGGGCATATTAAGATACTGAGACGAGTTTCACATTCCAAGTTCTTGAACTAAGGCACCATAATTTTCTAAACCTTTAAACCAACTTCTTAGGTCTTTCATGGGCCAGCAAAGAAATCTTCAAAGACCACATTCCAATCCTGTCACGGGACCCTACAGCAACGGAGGGAAACAATATCCCACCGGTCAAGAGGGACACAGTCCCACCTAGCACTTCAATTTCCATTTCAAGAAAACCCACGCTTGAACATTATAGACACCTATTTTTCACACAAAACAACCCTGAATACATCATGTGACATGTCATGAAAATTTTTCCATGTAACTGTTAAGCAGATTGACATTACTTTCCAAGGTTCTAAAGTCACTAATTGAAAGCCTTCATTACTACATTCTTCAGTAAGATTTATTTGTTTTCCCAAGTGACACTTAAAATGCAGCTGCTGTTACATCACAATGCGAAGTTACACAAAGTAAATTCAGCCCTCTCCTCAAAGGCCACATCCCCACCCCCCCACCCCACCCTCATTACTTAGACCTCCAGAATTGTTAGCAACGGCTAGTAGTATGACTTAGTAAGTAAAAATTACCGCCCCCTCCCCCCACATTTGGGTGGCTTTAAAGTTTAGGATTCTCCAGATCAGAGCATTGTTGACTGTTATACAAATACAGGGCAAAAAGGTGTGGGAGAAAAAAATGATCTAACGCCCAAGTTGTTCTCAAACTAAACAATAATTTCCATTTCGCACTTAAAAACTTGTCTAGACAAACTCCTAGAAGTGGTCTTGTTTGCAAAGAGCATCCTAGATATTCACCCCACCCCCACCCCCAGTTTTATTGGGAAAGTCTAAGATTTAACATTGTGTTAGGGAGAGGATTTTAAACAGAAAAACAGTATCCCAGGCTAGAACAGACTCCTCACTGCTGCTTCCATTGGGGAAGCGCTGAGCTCCAGAAAGCAGCGTATCTGTCAGCCCCTCCTGAACGTGCAGCTGGGCAGGAAGCACGAGCTTTTCCAAAGAGACTGAACGCTGAATTAGAAGCAGCTTTCGCAAACACGAAAGAAACCCCTGTTTGAAGAAGTTTAAGTTACTTCGAAATTAACCTCCCAGTTTGCAAACTCTGGTGAAAATCTTTCCATCTGGCGCGATTTCTCCGTCTCGCCGCCACCCCCAGCTGCAGGGCAGCAGCACAAGGCTCCTTGTCTCCCGTCGGAGGCGGCGGCGGCGGAAACCTGATCCCAGCCCGACTTTCAGTAAACACCAACGCACGGGGCAATAAAGCATCCGGAACATTTGTCTCGGGCGCGCAGCCCCGCCACCCCCGCCCCCGAAATCTTTGATAAGCGGCTGTTAGAGGGGAGATTTATCAACGGTCCCAGCCTCAGGCCGGGAAGGCCAGGGGGAGGGGGGGAAGGAGGGGAGGAGGCCTCCCCGGCGTCCCGGGTGTGTTCCTGCTGCTGCGCCGCGAGCCCGGCTAAGGTGCATGTCAGGGGCTCGAGAGGCCCTTCCCGTCCCGCCACGCCGCCCTCCCGCCCGGCGCCCGCGGAACCGGGGGGTTTGGGAACAAAGCACTTGGCCCTGGGCGGGCCCCCGCGCGCACGCGCCTCGTACCTGCGTGGAGCAGTCCAAGGCTGAGCAGCAGGAGCAGCAGCAGTGCCAGGGGAGGCGGGCAGAGCCGGGGGTGGCGGCGCTGCTCAGCCCCGGAGACGGCGGCGGAGGCGGCGGCGCAGGAAGGTGCTGCTCTCAAGCCCATGCCCGTCCATGCAGGTCTCGTGGGCTCCGGCGAGGGCGGCGGTGCGGGCGCCGTGGCGGGTCCGGGGCCGTGGCTGCGGCATGGGCCGGGGGACGCGCCTCGCTTCCTCTTCTTCCTCCTTCAGGCCCGTGTCGGAGACGGGCCGCCGCCACCGCCGCAGCGAGCAGCGCGCCGCGGGCGGAGCGAGTCGGCGACGGCAACGGGGCGCAGCAGCATCGCAGCGGCCGGAGGGAGGGGAGGCGGGAGAGAAGACACAAAGACCGTGAGCGAGTGCAGAGTGCGGCCCCGAGCGCGCGAGCGCCCGGCCCGGGCCAGCGTGGGCTCTGCGGGCGTGGAGCGCGGGCGTGGACCCACAGGAGGCGCACCCAGCCCTGGCGAGCAGCGGCCTGCCGCCCGGATCTCTCTACGCGGCGGCCCCGGATCAATCAATCTCAGCCCCGCACTGCTGCCCCGCCCGCCCTTCGCCCACCAATCGGCGCCGTCTCCACCCCCGCCTTCCCATCCCATTGGCTGCGAGCTCAAGCCCTGGACCCAGCCCGCCGCTAGCAGGGCCCTAAGTGCCCGCCCCTCCACGCCGCCTCCTGCCTCCTGCGGTTTAGTGTAACGTGAGTTCCGCGTCCGCGCGCTGCGGGTCCTTTCTACCGCGCCCGGCCCAGCCACTTGCTCGCTCTCTCTCCCCTCCCATCCACCCCTGCCGCGATGTCCTGTTTCCTCGAATCAAATAGAAAGAGGTGTCAGCCGCTCTCTCTGGCCGCCGTTACAAAGGAACCGGCCTTTGACCGCTCTTTGAATTAATGTTACTGGGTTCAACTTCCTTCCTAGATTTATTTATTTATTTATTTATTTATTTATTTATTTATTTATTTATTTATTTATTTATTTTTTTTATCACCCCACACGGCGCCTCCACCTCCAGCTCTGGAGGAAGCGGGCGCTTTTATCCAGCGCCACGTGGCAAATTCCTTCGCATCTAAGCACGTCTGCAGAGCCGCCTTTCGAACCTATTGCGGGTAAAGCTAGCCACCTTGGAAATGAGAAAGTGACCCGCGGTGCGGAACGGATCGGGTAGACTTGGGGAGGTACCCGTCAGCTCCCAGCGAAACTCGCAGGCAGCTGTGCGTGGCTCCGGTATTCTTGGCTCCTTTGACATTTCCCTTCCTGAAAGCGGCTGGGAGGGGTCTGAGAGCTGGAGAACTTCACCGTGTTCGGTTACAATGTAATTAGATTAATGAGGAGAGGCAGCTTTTAACGCAGTGTAGAGTAATTACGCCATCATTTGTTGCTTAGTGGCTTTTCCACACATTCATAATCTAATAGCAGATTAATTCAATGACAGTTCAGTTTCTACTTTTGCAATTGGATGGATCAAGAAATGAGGAGAAAAGCTAATTATCAGAACAGAGGTTATAATAGGCTCTAACTTATCAGTAGGTGTGAAGTGGTATCTAATCTCTAGAATGGCCTCAAAGTCTGGGAGCCACTTCGTACTGTCCTCGCCTTTGCCTTTCCCCAAATAGCTCAAGGTTGCCATTTTAAATTCACTTACAGTATATCCAAATCGCAGTAGGCAACTCTACCCGCTACCTTACTCAGAATCTCTAATTAGGGATTGCGTATCAACCGTGGACATGTAAATATTCCACACATAACAATGTGCAAATCAATGGACCAGGATAATTGAGGGCAAACCCATCACCCCAGCTTACTTATTAGACACATTACGAATTGTACAAACCACTAGATCCCTAATGAAGGATGCCTATCTTTTTACTGTAACTTTTCATTACCTATACATACTATGATGACACAAGTGGTAAACACACCTTTCATTGCCCATGATATAATCCAAGCCTTGCATACATCCACAATATGCTAAATAATTCTTTCAGTGTTGACTGGAGAAATGACTTTGGGGGGGGGGGGGTTAGCTATTATAATTTTTAGATAATACTATGGAGTAAATACTATTAGGCCAAAAATTTACTCTCTTGGAATTAGTACATATTATTAATGAAATAAAATTAATGAAATATTGGTAAACGTCTTTTAAAAGTAATAAAATGTGAACACTGTTTTTCAAAGTATTTTGCTAAAAAAATTAAGAGTAAAATGTTTCTTTTTCTTTAACACAAGATTTAAACCCACCGCTATAAAGAAGCATCCCACTTAATCGAACATGCTTCAAAACACACAACCAAGAGATAAGGATCAAATTCAGTTTAGTTTGTGTCTTTTCCCCCGTGATTTCTATGACTTCCCCCCTTACCCTTTTTCCCTCCCCCCACCCCGACCCCATCCTGTTCCTTAAGTACATGAGTGCTCTTGATTTTCTTATCAATAGAGGGCGCCCTCCAGTCACTGCAAATCCTGGTGTGAAGTGGAACTGCTCTAGAGGAAAAACTTCATTTCTTCTAAGGTGCTTTATTGCTCCTCTGTTGTAAAATTTGACAAGCTCAAGATTTATAAGCCTAACAATTCACTTTTTTTATTGCTGCATAAGTGTTCAGCCGGCTAAAGGAAAATGTTAATTTTCACAAACCGCAAGTTGGTTCCTATTTTCAAAACTTTAGGTCAGTTGACACACTCGCTGGGTAAATTTGGTCTGCTAGCAAGATCCCGAATCCTCTTGGAAAGCAAGAGCGTGGTGAGTGGTCGCCTATAGAGCATCCACTCCTCCAGCTCCAATGCTGCAAGCTAAGCAGGACATTAAGACTCCACAAAGAAAAATCTAGGGAGGGAGCTGGGACACAGACATAAAATTGATGACTTATAAAAGTTTTACATTTTAATAAGAAAAAATACCGTGAAGTGACAGCTTGTGCAACTCATAAATCCTCCCCGATTCTTGCCACTTGTACTCTCTCTCCCTTTGTTTTCAAGAAGGAAAGGTGAAGCCAAAACAGTACAAATAGGGGACTCAGCAGAGCAACGGTACGAACGTGCAAGAGGCTAGAATTAAAACGCATGCCAGAACATTAATGGGTTCTAAACAAGATGCGGTTTCTTTTTCTGTTCCCCAGTTAATATATCTCCATTTCCAGAAATCTAACACGAGGGTGGTTGCTGTCTGCTTAACAGATCAACTGGGGCAGAGGAACCGGGACTCAGACCTGGGGTTGCGATTTGTGCAATCCATTCTAGAGTGAGCCCCCCACCCCACCCCACCCCCAGTCCACAGTGTAGGAAAAGCAGGGCTGAAATAGCCCGGGAGTCAGACTGCCCAGTGGCAAGCAGCTCCTGGGTTGTACTTACATCATTTTTAACCCTTCCGCTCCTGGAGGGGGCTTGGCGGGATCAGGGAGCCGCGGAGCTCGGGAACACGCAGGACCTGGGTGTGAGAGAAGGGCCCCAGAGCCCGGCATGAGCGCTGCGCCCCCGGAAGGAGAGGGCCCGGGGCGTGCGTGAAGCTCATCACCCGAGCGTACCCCACGGGCACCCGCGATCCCCGCGGGCTCCGCCACTGTTCGCGCGGCTCAAAGCGGCAGGTGCAAAAAGCATTTGGGAGCCGCTTGCCAGCGCGCGGAGGTAATGCGCTTCCTGTCCATTTATCTCAGGAAACCAGCGCGGCCTTCCCTTCGAAACAAAATTAACCTCTCATTAGCCAGCCACTCGCTCCCGAAAAGGCCTTAAAAGCTTTACCAGCTCGCTAATGTGTTTAGGCTTTTCTTCCAGGCAAACGCAGCCACGGCCGTGACTGCCATCAGCCCCCGGGGTGCCTCTGGGTTCCCCGGGGAGCCAACCGCAGACCTCCCCGCAGCCTCAAGTCTGGGAAACTCTGGCCAACCCGGATCCCTGTTTTGTAGTCCTGGGCAGACCCTGAACGGACTTCACGCCAGAAGCCGCCCCAACAAGTTCCCGCTAATCCCAGGAGCGCTCCTCAGATCACAACCTCAGCTCCCATGTCCTCTAGGGGAGGAACTTCCATGGCTGCCGGGTCGCGGCTGCCGCCCGCCCCGAGGAGCGCCAGTCCTGTGCGCAGAGGGTGCGGGAAGCCCTGAGCCGGGACTTGGGGAGAGGGGGCGTGTAAGCTAGGATCTAGCGGATCCCAGGAGTGGAGAATGAAATGTGGTTCTAGATCTGCAAGTGGCAAAGGGGGCCTTTCGGAGCAGCTGGGGTTTTCTCGCCCTGGCCCCCTGCCGTCCCGAGGCTGGCAGATTTATACCACACAGGTGGACGGAGACCTAAACACAACAGTCCCGGCCGCTGCCTGCCGCTCGCCCCCCACGTCCCCGGGCCCACCGCAAACTTCAACAAAATAAACAACTCACCACAGGCATTCCCTTGTCTGCAGCGCGACGCTTGCCAGCTGGGAAAATAAGCCGCAAGCCACGCGGCCGGGGCGCAGAGGGAGGGCAGCGCGGTGCCCGCCTCCCCGCTCTCGGTGGGGGCACTGGTACTCGGGGGCCAGGAGGGAGGCTCCGCCTTGGGGAGCGCTCTCCCCGCTCCCCGACACCGACACCGAGTGAGCGCCGGGTGAGAGGCTGCACCCTTGCAATCAGCACGAACTCCCTGACACCTAGGGGAGGGGGCGGGGAGGCAAAGCCCTCTATTCCTTCCTGCTTTCTCGCCCTTCAGTGTCAAAAAAAGACCAAACCTTGGGGCCTCCCGCCCATCCCCTTCTGCACCACACCGCCCCCTGCCGGCACTACCCGGATCTTTCCAGCGCGACTAAGGAGTGGCAAGTAACGGCGTCCCAGAACCCCAGCCTTCAGGTCCTGGCTCAGGCCTCTCTCACCATCCCTTCACCCCACCAAGTCCTGCACAAAGACACCTTTCACGCTGCCAGCGCCACCCTCTGCGCCGCCCGCCAGGCCTGCCCGTTGCCTTTGTCCGCCCGCGGCACCACCGATTCCCGGTCGGTGATTGTGCCAGCCTTCGCCGGGGCAGGAAGGCACCAGGCGCACGCAGGCTGTTCCCACTCCGCGCCTCCGCACCGGCACAGATGCGGCCCCTGCCCGGTTTCTACCACTCTCTCTAGCTGCCCACCAGCGGCCACAACATACACCCTTTCTTCCCCATAAATGCTCTTTGCGGGTCTTCCTTCTGTGTCTAAACGAGGGTAGGCGGGTGGCAGGCATGGTCCTCTGGACTTTCCCCGAAATAAGGAATCCACCTAAGGTGCCAGCTTGAGTTTACAGTTTAAGAAAGCCCAGGGTAGCCCTAGCTGGTTTGACTCAATGGATACAGCATCAGCCTGTGGACTGAAGGGTCCGGAGTTCATTCCAGTCAAGGGCTCATGCCTGGGTTGTGGGCTTGATCCCCAGTAGGGGGCATGCAGGAGGCAACCAATCAATGATTATCTCTCATCAATGATATTTCTATCTCTCTCTCCCTCCCTTCCTCTCTGAAATCAAAACAAATATATTAAAAAAAAAAAAAAAAAAAGCCCAGGATAACAACTTGGGAAATATGAGGGGAGAGAAGACTGAAAAACA